AAAATACATAAAAATGAATTTGTGAAAAAAAAAATCATTTTTTTTCCGTTATTTGTCCCCCCCCCCCCCCGGGTTGGCTATAGGAATTTGCTATGGTGTGAAACTGTGAATGTATGATTTCAGTTTCACCGTGTTAATTAATCCATTCCCCACCCCCACGCACACGACTTTGATATCGTGGGCCCAGTATTAAGAAAACCAACTCGATGGTAATAACTAACAAGTAATGAAGTCAAGATTCTGCTTGACGAAAAAGGAATGTAATCACAATGTCTCAATAATTACATTTGACGAAAGGGGCATTCTTTTGGACCGAAACGAAGGTGGTAGAAGTATAACTATAAGCCTTTGTTTTTTTTTTTTTTTGGTTCCATAGTAGCAATTAGTAAGTCTAATACTACTTCTAATTCTTAACATAAAAATTAGTTAACTAATTTAAGTAGATTAAAAAAATAAATTAAGTTAGTTATTTGTAATAAATAGGTGTTGTCTTTTCTAAAATATCCTTACTAATTAAGTATGTTGGTTAGAATTACCATTATTAGAAAAATTATCTTAAAAATATATATAAATATGAGAGACAAGATAAATTGAGATATGATCAAAATAAAAGTCAAATGAGATTTTATATTAAAAACTGGAGATAGTCTTATTTTAGGTCATTAACGACCCTATTTTTTTGAGGGAATTACAATCAAATCCCACAGAAGAGAAATAATTACCAAAAAATCCCAATAACAACCTCAACAGTTTATAATGACAAGTTCTATAATGGAGATGACAACCTCTAGGACTAGTTTTTTAATTGTTTTCCTTACTTGGAACCTCATTGTAATTCTCTTTTTTTTTTTGTACATTAGTAGTTTGATATTATAAATGGGATGTGACCTTTAACATCTCGTTTATAAGAAAATTTTTAATGTCACTGTATCGCAAAGCTATTAATGCCATATGGTCAAGTATTTCCAATCGAACTGTGATTTAATGATGATCAATTACCCGAAAGTTACTCCAATATTTCTAAAAGAGGACGCCAATCCCAAAATAGTGCGAGAGACTGATTGCTAATAGTGGACGCTATGAAATCGGACAAATTCACCTAGGCATTATCATTAACATGTATTATAATTTTCTTTTGCCAACAATATATATCATAAAATTGTCATCAAAATGTATTATTAATAAATTATGAAAAATTATACACCTCACATCCTAATTATAAGATCTTATTTATATACTATAAATGAGTTTTTATAATTAGAACAATAGCTAGTAATTAGAGTATACCCTTATCTGTGTATAATGATAATGCATTTTAGTCTCTTTTTTTTTTGGAAAAATTACTGTAGAGTCCCACAGAAGAGAATTTACTACTGAAAGGTCCCATGAAATCATAAAATGTATATGAGGTCCCAAGGGACTTTATAGCAAAAAATTTGAAACGTGCAATTACTTTCTTGCCCTTCTAATTAAAGAAAGAAACCGAAGCACACGATTGAGAGAAAAACTCCTTTCAGTTGTCATCTTCGTGAAATCCGCCGCCGTCTCGTTCGTGTCCATCCTTGTGTGCTCCGATAGCTTCAATTTCCGGCGAGGTCTGTCAGTGTTTGCTCGGTACATTGTCACTCGCTGCTCCGCACTCCGTCGGTCTCTGGTCCGCACTCATTCGGTCTCTGGTCGGATGCCTCCAATCTCGTGCACGGTCCGTCGGTCTCTGGTTCGCACCCCACTACCCACGAGCCTCGTGGGTTCCATCATCAATGACCTTCGCACCCCACCGCCGGCGAGCCTCTCTCTCTTGGTATATCATATTGATATTATCTATTACTGGCATATTTAGGTGAGGCGCTTCTCAGTTTCAGAGCAACAGTTGGCTATTGTGTAAGTTGTATTAGTTAAATTTCGAAGTAATGTTGGCTATTGTTAATTGTTGTGCGTAAGTTGTTATTACAGTGATCGAAGGTTGTCATTAACGACCCCATGACCTGTCCTGCTATGTAGGATGTAAGACTTGTGTAAGTTGTATTAGTTAAATTTTGAACTAATGTTGGCTATTGTCAATTATTGTGCGTAAGTTGTTATTACAGTGATCGAAGGTTGTCATTAACGACCCCATGACCTGTCCTGCTATGTAGGATGTAAGACTTGTGTAAGTTGTATTAGTTAAATCTCGAAGTAATGTTGGCTATTGTCAATTGTTGTGCGTAAGTTGTTATTACAATGATCAAAGGTTGTCATTAACGACCCCATGACCTGTCCTGCTATATAGGATGGAAGACTTGTGTAAGTTGTATTAGTTAAATTTCGAACTAATATTGGCTATTGTCAATTGTTGTGTGTAAGTTGTTATTACAGTGATCGAAGGTTGTCATTAACGACCCCATGACCTGTCCTGCTATGTAGGATGGAAGACTTGTGTAAGTTGTATTATTTAAATTTCAAAGTAATGTTGGCTATTGTCAATTATTGTGTATAAGTTGTTATTATAGTGATCAAAGGTTGTCATTAACGACCCCATGACCTGTCCTGTTATGTAGGATGGAAGACTTGTGTAAGTTGTATTATTTAAATTTTGAAGTAATGTTGGCTATTGTTAATTGTTGTGCGTAAGTTGTTATTACAGTGATCGAAAATTGTCATTAACGACCCTATGACCTATCCTGTTATGTAGGATGGAAGATTTGTTTGGAGGTTCAGATGCATTGTCCATATCTCCACCCAATATGTTTAGTGAAGACCCACTATCATTGCCATGTGGTTCAGAAATGATGCCAACCCCAATTCCGAAAATGAATTCAACAAAGTGAAAGGATTTGGTTATTGGAGAAGGACAAATTTTTCCTAATGCAGTAACCCTTAGGCAAGCACTATATAGGTACAGCATTGCTGATAAGTTTTCATACAAATTTGTTAGGCCCATTGCGAAGGTTGTTAGCCACTTCTTTTCGGGTTGTCAACACCCACTGTTGAGGTTGTAAATGAATTGCTGCAGTAAAAATCTGCTGTAATCCTATTGAGTTCAGCTGTTAATAACTTTAAAATGCTCTCAATTTTTTTTGTTAAGGTCGTTATACGTGCTGATAATACAATCTATTTAGAAGTTGTGGCATCCCACAGAGTGATTTGTCAGGGGTACTGCCCAGGTTGTTAACCACTTGTCTTCGGGTTGTCAACAACCCCCGTTGAGGTTGTAAATGGATGTGGCAGAGAGGACTGTGATATATACCTATCATGTCATTATGGTTACCATTTGTTTATCCAGTTTTATTTAGTCTGCATTTGTGGACATGATCCGTGTGTGGAACGAAGAATTTCCTATTTTGTCAAAACACACGAATGTCATTACAAAAAAACTTCATAACCAGTAAAGGATGTCAATACACATTAACATATCTTAACATCCAGCTATCATTACATGGTCAAATAAAGAAACAAAATCTAAACTTTACATTCAGCTGTCAAATAAAAAAAACTAAATACAATCTATGCTCATCGTTTATTTCTTCTTCTTGCTTTGGGAGTTTTCTCATAGCAAAGACAGCACTTGATCACCATGCAGGTTGTTCCGATAAGTTACAAGCCACCACAAGCATCCAACCTTCAAGTCATGGATTTCTTGAGGGGAGTACAAGCATCCAACATGCACAGCATACAGTCACAACCTACACATCAGCCAATCACAACCCACATTTGTGCCATTCACAACATACACAGCAGCTAATGACAATCCATGCTAAATCAAATGACAACAAGAACAGCAAGCAATTACAACCTATACATAAGCAAGGGACAAACTAACAGAGGCTAATGACAACCTGCACACAAGACAATAACAACCTTCACATCAACCAATTACAACATACAAATAAGCAGTTGACAGCATACATACTAGTGAATGACAACATAGAGTAATAAATGACAACATACATGATAGTAAATGACAACATACAGAATAATCAATTACAACATATAAAGAATAGTATATTCCCACTGAGGGAGTTACTTGATATAACCCTAGAAAATACAGGAATATGATGAATGAATGAGATTTGTCCATCCTTATAACAACATAAATTAGATGAAATGAACCAAAAACTACATTAAAATACTGCACTCACGAACTTCTGAGCTGTGATAGGTTTCCTAGTTCATTTGGAATCGCTCCACTTAGGTAATTGCAACTTATGCACAACAATTGACAATAACTAACATTACTTCAAAATTTAAATAATACAACTTACACAAGTCTTCCATCCTACATAGCAGGACAGGTCATGGGGTCGTTAATAACAACCTTCGATCACTGTAATAACAACTTACGCACAACAATTGACAATAGCCAACATTACTTCGAAATTTAAATAATACAACTTACACAAGTCTTACATCCTACATAGCAGGACAGGTCATGGGGTCGTTAATGACAACCTTCGATCACTGTAATAACAACTTACGCACAACAATTGACAATAGCCAACATTAGTTCGAAATTTAACTAATACAACTTACACAAGTCTTACATCCTACATAGCAGGACAGGTCATGGGGTCGTTAATGACAACCTTCGATCACTGTAATAACAACTTACGCACAACAATTGACAATAGTCAACATTACTTTGAAATTTAACTAATACAACTTACACAATAGCCAACTATTGCTCTAAAACTGAGAAGCGCCTCACCTAAATATGCCAGTAATAGATAATATCAATATGATATACCAAGAGAGAGAGGCTCGCCGATGGTGGGGTGCGAAGGTCATCGATGATGGAACCCACGAAGCTCATTGGTAGTGGGGTGCGAACCAGAGACTGACGGACCGTGCACGAGATTGGAGGCGTCCGACCAGAGACCGACTGAGTGCAGACCAAAGACCGATGGAGTGCGGAGCAGCGAGCGATAATGTACCGAGCAAACACTGACAGACCTCGCCGGAGATTGAAGCTATCGGAGCACACAAGGATGGACACGAACGAGACGGCGGCGGATTTCACGAAGATGACAACCGAAAGGAGTTTTTCTCTCAATCGTGTGCTTCGGTTTCTTTCTTTAATCAGAAGGGCAAGAAAGTAATTGCACGTTTCAAATTTTTTGCTATAAAGTCCTTTGGGACCTCATATACATTTTATGATTTCATAGGACCTTTCAGTAGTAAATTCTCTTCTGTGGGACTCTACAGTAATTTTTCCTTTTTTTTTGGGCTTTGTCAGATTTTCGTTTGTCATATCCACTATTTTGGGCCAACCTTGCCTTCCCGCTTCCCCATGAATTCATGGTTTTGTGCTATGTCTTGCCTACTGATAAGCTGCCCACTAGTTTTCCTGCCTGATGTAAGCCCGTATTAAATTATGTCTGACAGAATTTGAATGATCTTAGTTTACAAAAAACAAAATAAATGGTTCTAAAAATAATATTTTATATTTATTAAAACAAGGGAAAAATTAGTGGAATGCTACACCAGCATAATTTAATTCAACATTTTAGCATATACCATAATAAAATACTATGATAGCATATGACGTTATTTTTCTCTCCCAAACTTCAGAAAAAATTTATGGCAATTTTAGAATATTACAAAAATTTCATCAGTAATTTATTTACCTACAATAGAATTATTTTTTTCTTTATATTTCAAAAGAGTTAAAATTATTTACTTAACTTTAATATCTTGTAAAATAAAATCTGCAAAGCCCTAATTAAACTCTCACGGCGATTGAATCTTATATCCAGTTGAAAAAAACAATCTCACCGCAGATAAGAGAATTCTCTAATATCGAGTCTATGAAGTTTAATGCCGACCACCTCCCTTAGTTTACTTTGCCAGTTGCCCAAATGCATTCATATGCTTAATTATTTATTTGTAAGAGAAGACACGTAATTTGATTAAACTTCTATTGAAATTTAGGTTAAAAGATAATAATTATCTTTAAAATTTTATAAAATATTTCACATATCAAAGCATAAATAATTTTTTAAAAATGAAAAATAGAAAAAGAAAGTCTGTCTCGTCATAATTTTATTAACAGGGATATTCTAAATCAGAGTACCAGTAAAGATGAAAATTTTATCATCAGTAAAATTTTGAATGAAAGATTGCTCCCAATTTTTCCTTAAAACGTACTGTGTGTGTGTGTGTGTGAAGGGAGCTAGTAAAGATAAAAGAATCAAATGTAGTTGGCCAAAAAAATGTAGAAGAGTTGGAGAAGGAGGTGGTGGGAGGAGGAGGGCCCTTTGATGCAACAACATTGTGGGAAGACAGTGAATCGCAGGCCTATTCATGTCTCCTCATCACCAAGCATTATTTTCTGTTCATTCTTTGTTCTTTTTTACCCACTTCTCTCTCTCTCTCTCTCTATCTCTCGCCCCCTTCCCCAAATCATCCACTCATCCTCCACACATTTCATATCCCACCTTTCTCTCTGTAATGCAACAAAACTTATGCTTAATCTCTTTTCTTCCTTTAAATCTCTCTCCCACTCCCTCACTACACCTCCATCATTTCATCTCTCTCCAATTATGATCCTCTTCGAATCTCATTGCCTCCCAATAGCTCCTTCCATTTCAAGTTGCCAGGTTTGTAGTGCCAAGTACGAATCATATCTTGCAGATTTCTGGTACAAATCAAATATCTTGCTCTACCAACAAGCTTCTGCAAAATTACTGTATATTAACAAATCCAGGGTGCTTATGAAAGATTTACATGGAACGCTTCTTTCTATAATGAAGTGCCGAATTACTAGTTGTGGGGAGTGGCACTGCAAGTGGCGGAGAATGGTTATATAAATTTGCGAATGATGTCGTTGTGCATTTGTTGTTGTGATTGTTACGTTACGTTACTTTACAGGACAATGTCTCTTACTCTGATTGAAAAGGATGCCTCATAATGAAGGGTCCCATTATATAGCGTCTTACCGGTTGTTCCTATTGCATTTTCTTTTTCTGGCTTCCTATAATTTCTTATCATCTGATGCATTAATAGCTGCAACTACTTGGCTTCGTGTGGGTTCGCTACATTTATGCGTTTGTCTGAGAATTTGTGTGAGATATTGACATCTGCATTAATTATTGTATAATTTAGAGACTTGTATGTTTGCCAGATTTGTAACAAGTTTTGAGCTTATCTCCATAGAACCTTTGGATAACCAGACTGCGTCCTCTCAAGTTCTCACCAGTAATTAAGAACAGAATTAACCAGTATATTAAGTAACAGTTAAGCATTTGTCACTACTACAAAAACATCCATTTTTGCCTGTTCTAGAATTTTTTTTTATCTGTTTAAAGGGAGACGTAAATCAAGAAAGTAGCTATATATTCGTCTATGTTAAACAGAAAAGTATTATGAAATTATACAAGAACAGACGATTATAACTATACATACTCGTCTGTTCTTGTTGAACAAATGAGTATGAGACTCTATATTTCTCTGGTTTAGTTTAACATACTAGAATATGGTAATTTTTTCTTCTGTTCTCAAATTCAAACAAAAATAAAAGACAAAAATAGACCATTTTTTAACTGTGTGTATCTTTGTTTTGTTCAGGAGATTTTTGGTGCGCAACAAAGTCATAACAATAAGATGTGCTTTGTATTCTATGTGCTGCAACAAGCAAATACCACTCGCCGCCCTTTTAGATTCGGATTGGCTAAGGCAACTAATTGGATTGTGAAACATTTTAGTATATTGAAGTTGAATCATCACGTCACATGCACTATATATATATATATATATATATTGCAATTTGAAGAAGTTAGACAAGGAAAGTGCTCAATTATTATGAGTTTGTGGTCAACGAAAAAAATCATGGAAGGGACCAGGCTGTCACTTCCACTAATGACACAAGTTAGTGATCTTCACACTCAGCTCATCATACTCAACTTAGTCACGTACCATCTGATCTGTAACTCTGATCTCAATGAGATTCTTCAGTTTGCTATTTCAGATCCGAACAAGAACAAATCAAGCACACCATGCTGGAAAACCTTGTCTGCTTCCGAGCTTGATACCTATGACCTTGTCCGATCTAGCTCTGATCTCCTCATATCGCAGATTAGCATCCATAAAAGTACCGATATGTTCAAATAGGTTGAAAAACTTTAGTAGTGAGTGTTCAAAAACAAGGCCCCGATCATAAATCATTAGTAAGATTATGTTTTGCTTTGGCCTCCTTGGAGTAGAGAACACTCATATCAGAATTGCTTTTTGAAGCGTTTATCTCTATAAGAGATGGCAAAGCACACGTGGAGTAAATTAATAAATGATGGGTGTTCAAGTATTGGACCACACTAGGATTTTTACCTGGCCAGATGAGGATGAACAGAACAGTTTCGTTCTCAGTCTGGCAACCACATTAATGAATAACAATGATGTTCAAAAAGGAGTGCTCACTTGGACCACTTGACAAAAAGTTTTATCTGCGATTTATATCAGTTCCTTTTCTGCGAAGAACAACACAGCGAAACAAAAACGTACGTTGCATTAATTAATTAACCTATGTGAACATGTATGCTTTGATATATCTCTATATATATCGATCCAAGCCTTGTGTCTATTGTTGACACATTAACTCCATCTGCTTTGTTGACTTGAAAACTCACAAAAACGTGTGGGGTTGGTTCACTTACATAATAGACCTATCTCTGAAAGTAAGGGGATGGGGACGCATCAGCATTATATATAGAGCCTACTTTGCATGTCATGGCGTAGACTGATTGATGATTGGTCCCATGACGACCCATTAAATATAAATATATATATATAGATGTCATATCTATGTGTTCATGATTGATGGTAATAACAGTACACTAGCTAGATAATGCTGATTTTGCCATTCTAAGAAGGATGAATGAGAAAGCCATTTATGCTTTTTGATTAATTGTGTGGCATTCCCTTTCTTTTCTTGTCACTGTCTGCTATATGTATCGTTTTCGCAAGTTTTAACTGTCTTCTAGTGGTACTGACAGTGACACCACCGGATGCATCATGCTCATCATCTCCATTTTTACCATGAGGCAACATCATCACCATCTAATAATTTACAATTTTATTAATTCAAATGCATTATATATAGTCTTATCGTTAAGGGTTTGTGAGAGAGGGGGAGAGAGAGGATTTGAGTATTGGCATTATTTTCTTAGTGGGATCAGAATCAGTAAGTACCTACCTTTCTGGATCCCCCGAGACTACATAGCTAATTATTCATTGGTGGTCTTTCTAGTTTATATGCCGCTCTTCGAACCGAGCCAAACCTGCAATGACAAAACCCACCAAATCAGCTTTTTATTTCTTTCATATATTTATAAAAAAGAAAGACAGAAAGAAAGAAAGGGTCACCTATGCTTACAATTATTATGCTTTCTCTAAAGCATTCTTGTCATTTTATGAGTGTGATTCCATTTCAAGGGCTCTCTTTTTCGTGTGTGGGTGTGTGAGTTATTATTATTATTATTATTATTATATACACACACATATATATAATATATAAATTCATGATGGATCGCAATATAAAGTAGATAATTTTAGCCTAAACAATTGAATTGCATGGAATCTGTTTATGACTCTTTAACTGTGTAATCAGTGTGAGTTCCCTTTTATTAATGAAATTATTAATATTTCTTTTCCTATGAAGCATGCATGCATGTGTGGTTTAATTTCAGGGAAATTTTAAAAGAAAAGGGAGGGAGGAAAAGGAAAGAAATAGGAAAAAGGAACAAATTATGAAGTCAATCTGTCCTTACACTTATCTTGGTTGGTGATATGAGATTCCAACGATTTTCTTCATCACTCATTCTAGCCTCTCTAATTAATTATTTTTATAGTGCCCCAGTTAATTTCCTAGGCTTATTATATATAGATCCTCCCCGCAAGTGCACTATTGCCCGTACATATTTCATTACTCCTCCTGTTATTAGTGCAAGACATATTTAACTAACTTAATTATATTAAAAAAGTTATGTAAGTTATTTAATTATAAAAAATATAACATGTTTTTCTTAAAACATTGTAATTATTTTTCTTGATATCCTTCCTCCCTCTCCTACTTGATTATAGTTGAGAAAATATCAATAGGAATGATTTAAAAAAATTAATAAATATAATAAATAGGTCTTACATTTAAGATTAAAATTAACTAAATAATTCAGTCGCATGTTAAAGGACCAGAAGAGTATATGTTCATTGGAAAAGTATGCCGTTAAGTGGTAAGAACAAACAAATTATCAATTAACTTTACTTCGTGGCCGAGTCCCCTTGATTTGCGAAAACTATGGGCTTCACGGCATATCTACTATGATTTTTTTTTTTTGGTTACACATACCGTTTTTTTATTAGAAATAATTCTATTCAAGTCATCATTGAATATTAAACGGGAACACCTCTCCCAACAAAAATTAAAATATTGATTCACTATATTGTGAAGAATTGACCCCACTCTACTAAATCCAAGCCTGTTGATATCTACTATCATGATTGATTATTTTTTAAAAGCATTAATGTCAATTTGCCTGAAACATCAGAGCATCTAGAATTACAAAGATTTAGTGAAGTTGGCCGAGAAAGAAAGGAAGATTTAGTGAAATTAAACGCAAAACTCCCCACTTTTACACGTAGTCATGTATGGATTAATATATATTCCAAAGGAATTATGCGATTTGAGCGTCATCCTATCGGAGGAGATACTTTTGAGTTCAAAATCTAAAAATGATGAATTTATAGATCATTATATTTGTACGCGTATTTTTTATTTAGCTGAACTCTATCCAGCATAAGATTTTTTTTTTTTAATATTAACTCAGAACTTGACATCCTAAAAGTACATTATTAATGCGGTAAAAAAACAGAAGGAACATCAAACAAATTTATAACTTGATTGAAATCAATGCTACTTGCAAACGTTTGTTCATCTATTTAATCTTTCTATCTTGCTCCATTAGCTATGATTATTTTTTACTCTCCTTTATCTTTCCATGTAAAGGTTGCAAAGACCATGACATAATTGCACACCAGTCCATTCCATTTGACGAGCTTTGCCTCCTTTGGCAATCATAATATCACATCACAACCTTTGCACGCGTGATAACATTACGTCAAAATCTCAAGTCTTTAATTTATATTCTCAATCCCATGAAAAATCAAGTGGATGAAATAAAAAAGCAGGTAATAATTATTGGTTAAATAATGAATCCGTAAAAACATCATCTGCCTTTTTTCTATATATAAATTTAGATTTTCACTCATTTGTGGAAGTTGAGCTGAAATGCATATATACCTTAGGATGGTGGATTTTGGAGTTACAAAGCATATTACTGGACTGTTATTTTGTTAATTTTATTTGCCATACAAATACAGGATTCCACTTACTAGTGGAAGCTGAGTTTGAGATGCATACTCGATTAGGGTGGTGTGTTGTGGAGCTATCAATCATATAAGACAACTTCCCTCCTAGGGGCTAATAGAAATTAGAAACATAATCCGGATATCATAATTAACACAGAGAGAATCAATATACTGACAATAGTATGGCATGTAGAAAAAAATATTAGGAATGATTAAAAATTAGTGTAAGACGAAAGAGACTTGCCATCATGGGAAAGAGAGATAGAGAAATTAAAGAGAGACAAACGTGTAGTTCACTTCATAAAATCAACATTTATTATGGACGCAACGAAGTGAGATTTAGTTTGAATTTGTATATTTGTATATATTTCTGCCTTCTGGTCTTATCTATAAATTACTTCTAACATGTTTCACACATATTAATGAAAACTTTAAATTTTATTAACTCTCATTTAAAATTTAATTTTTTAAGTTTATCTCTATTTAATATACATTATATCTTATAAAAATAAAGTCAACATAATACTAAATGAAGGATAAAATTGTATATCTACACACAAAAATTTTCTCAATACTCCATAAATAGGACTAAAAATATCTTTTTTTTTGTCTTATAAATAAAACCAAATGAGTATATGTTTTATCCATAGTTTCACACTACCGCTTATCCTATCTATTAGTGAGATGAGATAATGCATGCGAGTGCCTAGTTTATTAATGAAGCCCTGAAGTTGTGCTTAGACGAATAGTCACGGTTATGAATAATTGTACATATAATTATGACAATAATATAATATAGTGATGATGGAAGTTGACGAGGCCTAGTGCGTTCCTAAAGAGGGCCCAGGAAATTTAAGTGGAAGGAAAATGACATGGATACGCCACCTGCGAGGGTAGTGAATCGAAGAAATCAGAGGTTTGTATTAAATGGGGATGGGTATTGTTCATATATTTTTGGTATTTTATTATTAGTGATAGATTTTGAAAGGATAAAGGTGGTGAAAATATAGCTTCTTAAGAATTCTCTCTGCCTTGATTGGAACATGCATAGATGTCTTTCCTACTTCATGGGACCCATTATTACGTACCTTGCAAGGGATTAGAACTCATTTTTCTAAAGTTTAGGTATCTGTATATTGAGGCGGCACTTTTTTAAAATCTGCATCAATTTTAAAGGAATTTATAAGGTCTTTCTTAATTTTTTGGCTTATAGCTAAATTTTTATTATTCGATCAGCAAACATCTATATGATTTTCTCGCTTAAATACCCTTCATCATTTGAAGTTATTTTTTTTCTCAATTTTATATAAAAATAACTTTATACATGTATGTGTGTATATATATATGCTAGAAAAATTAATCTATTTTATTGTTAGAAGTATATTTTTTTGTGGTAGTCCCTTTCCGGTTAATCTTGACTCTATAAAACGGAAATGAAACATACAACGAACTACACGTTCAAGGTTAAAAAAAAAAATCCCTACCATGTTTTACAACAACTTAAAATGGCTATTAAAATTATGTTTTTATTTACATAATATATAATTTCATAATCTTGATAGCAATACATATAATTATGAAAATTATAATTTTCAAATTAAATACGACAATCATATTATTATGAAACTATTAAAAAATTAAGTGTGTGTGTGTGTGTGGATAAGTAATTATACACCATATAATTAATTAAGTTGTTACGGAGGTTAAGATAATATGAAACCGAACTTAATTTCCAAATTAATTCAAACAGTAGTGTTATAACACGATTAAAAATTAAAATTTAATATGCGTAAAATAAAACACAAAGAAGCAAAACAAACTACTCCTCTGATCCCTAATATAGGATCTAATTAGTAAGTTAATTTTGATCCAAAATATAATATATATTTATCATATTTACTACCTCCGATCCTAATTATAAGAGTTTGTTGACTAATTTGAAGAGATTAAGGAAAGAAGTTAAGTTAGTTATTTGTAACAAATAGGTGTTATCTT